ACCCAGAAACATGGTTTGAATATTGAACACCAAACCCAGAAACATGGTTTGAACATCCAACACCAAACCCAGAAACATGGTTTGAATATCAAACACCAAACCCAGAAACATGGTTTGAACATCCAACACCAAACCCAGAAACATGGTTTGAATATTGAACACCGAACTCCGAAACATGGTTTGAATATTGAACACCAAACCCAGAAACATGGTTTGAATATTGAACACCAAACCCAGAAACATGGTTTGAACATCCGACAGGAACCTTGACCCAACCAAATCCAGGCAGTGGGAAGACCAACAGGGATCAAGGATGTTTTCCCACTGCTTTTCTCCCACGGTTCTCATCCAAACCTTCCCCCCAACCTCAATTTTCTAAGCACCAGTTGATCCTGCTGGTTTTTTGGCCACTGTGGAGCTGCCCCGGGGTGTCCAAGTGGGACTGGAGGAAGTGGCAAGTGGTCAACAAATAAAAGCCTGATGGTGCCAGATGTGGGAGATTTTGGCAGCCTCTGGAGCTCCAATAATTTTGGTTACAACTCCTTCCTTCCTTCATTTCAGGGAACGAAACCTTGTGGCAAAGTCTTCTTGGAAACGCCACCAAACTCGACGCTTTTAATTAAAAAGACAAACAGCAAATTAAAAGGGTAATTGCGCCTGAGGTTGGAATTTTCCTGCTGGAAAGTTGGAAAAGTTGTTGAAATAAGCACTTTATTATTTTGTGCCCGTGTCCAAACATTGCTGCTACAAAGAATAAATGTATTTCCTGGATTAGGAAAATAAAAATAAAAGGCTTGACCGTGCTTTGGGAGAAGAAATTCTTGGTGATGTCCAGGTTAAATGTCACCTGGTGCAACTTGAGGCTGTTTCCTTGTCCTGTCACTTGTTCCCTGGTAGCAGAGCCTGATCCCAACCTGGGTCCAACCTCTTCTCAGGGATTTGGAGAGAGTGAGAGCTCCAGAAATCCATGTTTAACATAAAAACCTAAAACTGGTTATTCTGGGATCAGCCTAATATTGCCCATTTCCCAAATCCTGTGTAAAAACGGGACAAATGTGTATTAAAATTATATTTTCCATGGTTTTTTTACTGTGATATGCACTAGTCATCCTCACACAAAAACAGACCCAAGCTGGTTTTTTAGGGTTCATTCCCAGGTACAAAAAAAAAAAAGGGCAGGAGGGCAGGTGTCTATTTAGGAATCCTGAAATCATTTGCATGTGGCTGAGGAATGATTTCCTTAGGAAAATTCCGAAGTCCCAGTCCTGCTCTCCAGGGAATTATCTGAGACTTGCAACCTGGAATTCAGAGAGATGATATTAAACAACTTTTTTCATTCCAGGTGGGTTGGAAAATTGGTTCTCCTGCTATGAAACCTGTTCCCTGCTCGGTGCAGAACATAAAGATGTATCATATGCCCCTTCCTCCCCCCTCCATCATTCCTTAAAGTTGGATCATCCACGTCTGGAAAGGGGCATTTATTTTTATTACACTGTCTGTCTTTACTAAAAATATTCCCCCCAGATTCCTGGGGCTGGGACAGCTGTGGAATGCAGCTCCTCTCCTCGGATTGCTCCATTTAATGCCTTCAAAAGGATTGGCCTTGTCCTTCCTCCTTCCTCCCATTGGATTTGAACCTGGATTGGGCAGGGAACAGGGACAAGGGCCCGGAGTGACAGGATAAGGGGAAATCGCTTCAAACTGAAAGGTGGAAGGTTTAGCTGGGATAATTGGGAAGAAATTTTTCCCTGTCAGATGCTGGAACAGGATTTTACATTTATTTCCACTCACCTGCAGCTGCATCCCTGGATGGAGACTCCAGGAGGGAAAACTGCCCCATTTGACACTGAGTAAAACTCCAGAACAGGTTGCCCAGAGAAGCTGTGGCTGCCCCTGGATCCCTGGAAGTGTCCAAGGCCAGGTTGGAGCAACCTGGGCTAGTGGAAGGTGTCCCTGCCCGTGGCAGGGAGTGGAATGGGATGAGTTTTAAGGTCCTTTCCAACCCAAACCCAAATCATTCCACGATTCCATGTTTCTGTGATGTGGACCCAAGGATCACCACGTGAACAGGGACTTGTAGGAATGTTCCACAGAGCTGGAGAGGGACTTGAGACAAGTGATGGAGGGACAGGAGAGCAGGGTTAGGTAGGATATTGGGAAGGAATTCCTGGCTGGGAGGGTGGGAAGGCCCTGGCACAGGTTGCCCAGAGAAGCTGTGGCTGCCCCTGGATCCCTGGAAGTGTCCAAGGCCAGGTTGGAGCAAGCTGGGCTAGTGGAAGGTGTCCCTGCCCATGGCAGGGGGTGGGAATGAGATGATCTTCAAGATCCCTTCCCAACCCAAACCGTTCTGGGATTCCATGAGTTTTATTTCAATCTCTTGACTTTCCTGAGGTGAAACACGGGCAGTTTCTAAGTTGTTGCAGCACATGGACATTTCCCTGCATTTCTGCAGGGAAAAGAGGGAATTCTGTGTGCCAGGGAAAGGCCAGGACACCCTGGTGAGACAGGGACAGAGTGCAGAGCTCCATCCATGGAACTTGTCCTCGTTAATCCCCTGATGAGGCTGCAGGGCTACCACAAACAGAAATTATCTTGTTTAGAGCTTTGACTTCTTCAAATGGTTGTTGCCCCCAAATCCAGTTGGACTTTTATGAAAAGGTATTTTTTTTTAAATTGGGAATTATGACTTTAATACACTTCTTTTAACAACTCCCATATTCTGAACCATATTTGTCATCATTGCTTTGCCTCATGGTCCAACTTATGTTCCAAATCACCCTCAGCTTTCCCAGGGACAGGAATATTTCCTTTTCTGTACCACACACAGGCAAATCACTGAAAAATTCAAAGCAGATCCCACTGGATTTCTACATTTTATATCACAAAGACCTTACAAAGCATGTTTTATCCAAAGTAAGTTGTGGCTTGAATGGAAACAAATGAGAGGCCAAACTTTCTCATCAGTGATGATCGGATAATTGCCCTGCTCCTCAGGGATTGCAAAGGGCCAACCTGGTCTGTGTGGTGACCCCTTGCTTAGAAGGGTTTGCTCGTGATCCTTGGAATTTTTGGATGCCTAAATGATCTGTTAAAGTGTCAAACAGGATGGAGGGTGCTTGGTTTGTCTGAGGAAGAACTTGGTTAACACTGAATTGTGAAGAAAGGGTTGGATGAAAATTGTGGGTTGGACGTCGACCCCATGTCAAACCAGGTTGTGCCACGTGGTTCAGGTTAACGTGTCTGCAACCATGGCCATGGATCATGATCCCATGAAAAATGGATCCATGAAAAATCAGGATAATGCCTGTGTGGATGCACCATGAAAACCAGAACTACAGACCCACAGAATCCCAGAATGGGCTGAGCTGGAAGGGACCTCCGAGGATCATCGAGTCCAACTGCTGGCCCATCCCCAGGAGTCACATCCTGTGCCCCAGCTTGGTTGCAGGATGCCCAAGGAACACCACCTTGATCTCAGAAGGGATTTAGGGATTTATAGACCCCTCCTGCCCAACTTTTTGCATAAAGTCTTCTGGCTTTGTCAATAATGACATTGGCTGAGATGAAACGACACAAGTCTTTCCATTAAATGTGGGAAAATTCAAAATATTTCTTAAAAAGAAATATGTTTTGCTATGAATGAATTAAAGACATTTCTGAAGAGCTGGTGTTTCTATTCTCTTGCCTTCAGAGGTCTATGGGTACAGCACTGAATTAATTCATCTGCTCATCAGTGATGATCAGATAATTACCCTGCTCCTCAGGGGTTACAAAGGGCCAACCTGGGCTGTGTGGTGACCCCTTGCTTAGAAGGGTTTGATCGTGAGCCTTGGAATTTTTGGATGCCTAAATGATCTGTTAAAATATCAAACAGGCTGGAGAGTGTTTGGTTTGTCTGAGGAAGAACTTAGTTAATCTTGAATTGTTAAGGCCGTTCTTCATTTTATTGTTGGAGGCATGTCAGAGCAGGACAGGCTGTCAGGGAAGGGAATCAAGAGATGGATGAAGGTCTTTGAGGAAGAGCCAGATGGTTCAGAGGGGCAGCTGACCACAGACAAACAAAAATTCTGGCTGGTGATCAAGGCAGGTACCAGCCAGAATCAACAAACTCCGTCCTGGCTCATTCCAAACGGAGCGTCTAAACTTAGCAAGGCACCCTGATGGGCATGGAAACCCCTCCAAGCCCTTCCTCTCCTCCTGCAAAATGTTTTCCCTTCTCTGATTTCATGCTGCAGACGTCTCCAGTTCCAAGAGCAGCACTGGTGACATGTTTGAGAGTTTAAACAGTGGAAAAAAATAATAAAAATAAAAGGGAGGATGTCTCATCTGAGCGTCCTAAAACGTGGGGATTAAATAAGAGCAGAAGCTCAAAACTTTGCATGGAGCTTCAAATTCCTCTCAAACTCTTCCCTTTGGGTTGGTTGGTGGTATCCTTAAATCTTTCTGATGGAAGGGATGGATGCAAACATCCCAACTCTCTGACAGAGACCCAGGACGTGATTTTTCAGGACTCCCAGTTCATCCCAAGGGAGCTTAAATTCAAGGAAAAAAAAAATATCTGTTGCATAAGGAGGTCAAAGCTGGAAATGTTCTATTATTGTAGGCAAAAATAGATATTTAAAATGAAGGAATGTCTCCTTCTCTGGGTCACAACTTCTTTATTTTTAACGATAAAGGACATTGTTCCATATAACCTGATACAGGGGAGAGACAGGCTTAGGCAGTGTCAATGTTTGGCTCATTTAAATCTGATTTCTTGGCTCGTTTAAATCTGACTTCCATAATAAAAAAACAGTAGGTTCCAAGCCAAAAAAAGCCAAGTTTGGATTTGACTGTGGCTTTTCCTTGTGGAATGACACCCCTTTGGAAGGGAGTGACCTTAGGTGACAACAACACACCTCGTGTCAGTGCCAAACTTGTTCCCCAATTTAAGGAGAATAATCTTTTGGTTTGCACAATTCCAACCTCTGCCTTCTAGTTCTTCATTTTTTTTTCCTTCCAGATTACAAAGATTCCTTTGCCAGACCTTCCTCTGAGCAGAAACTCAAACCCAGCAGCAGATCAGAGAAGGTCGGGCTTGCCCTTTCCCTGCAAACACACACAGGGTTCCTTTCCCAATCCCGGGAATCCCAGGGGTCCCCTCTCCCTAACAATTGGAAATATATCCATGAACGTTGGCAAGGAGGGGGGTGATGAGGTGTTAAGTGGAAATTTCTTTACTTAGCACGGATGATTTGTGAGTCCGAGGGGAAATATCTCCGGGGCCTCCACGAAGAGGCTCTGGGTTGATTTTCCTCTTATCCCCTCGTGGCAATAAATAAATAACAATAATTATTACATTTTTTTAATAGGACTGTTGTAGAGAACACTGAATCTGTGAAAAGAATCATTTCTATCTTCATGTAAAAAAAAATAATCTATATTTTCACAGCAAGTTGCTGAAGACAGAGCCTTGGTCTCTGAATCCTGAAAAGCCAGACTCCAAGAAATGAGGGAATTATTCAGAGGAGGCTGCCTGCATTTCAATAAAACTTATCATGCATAATTCAGCTCTTGAAAGCTGGAATGCTGGGGTTAGCCAGATTCCATCTCACACATGCATGCCTGACAATTCCACTTACCTAATTCCTGCATCCAGAAGGGAAAAAAATATGCCAGTGCCTCGTTCTCACAACAAATGGATCCCATTAACTCAGAATAACTTTGGGCTTAAGGTTTTAGTTTTAACTTTGATTGGTAGTTTCGGGCTTGCTGGTTGTGTATTTTAAGGTTTTTCCCTCAGTTCTTCGTGGTGAAGTGAAAATAAATGGTCAGGGGGTTGTTTCCTTTTGGAGAAGTGTGTTGTGCTTGTGCATTTGGAAAAAAAAAGTATTTAAAAAAATAATAAAAAAAATATACATATATGTAACATTAAAAAATATAAGTAAAATATATATTAAAAAGCACAGACTTTCAGGGGCTCATATTGGTTCTCTGCTAGGTCAGAAGTCCAATTCAGAAGTTCAGAAATCCAGGAGTTCAACTCAGAAATCATCCGAGGTTCAAGATTTGTGTCTCAGTTTGGTGTGAAAGGGACTGAAATATTCCATAGGCTGGTTCTCATCCGTATCCTGGTGGGATTAATCTGGTTCCTGTGACCCTGCACTGGGTTCTGAAGCCCTGAGAAGGTGCTGCCATGGTTTGAAAATATCAGGAAGGGGGGTTGAGTTGGGCCACGTTGTCACTCAGACAGGATCATCCCCGCCCAGCTCAAAGGGGGTGTAAAGGTTGTCTCATAAAATCTTAAAATCCTGCAATTGTTTGGGTGGGAAAGGGACCTTAAAGATCATCTCATTCCACCCCCTGCCATGGGAAGCTCTGTGGAATATTTGCACCTGGTGATCCTTGTGTCCACATCTTGGAAAGGACCTTAAAGATGATCTTGTTTCACCCCCTGCCATGGGCAGAGACACCTTCCATTATCCCAGGTTGCTCCAACCTGGCCTTGGACACTTCCAGGGATCCAGGGGCAGCCACAGCTTCTCTGGGCAACCTGTTCTGGAGTTTTACTCTGTGTAAAATGGGGTAGTTTTCCCTCCTGGAGCCTCCATCCAGGGATGCAGCTGGAGATGAGAGGAAATAAATGCAATTTACTCCCATTTAATGCCACACAGAGATTGTTTCTCTAAATTTCCCGCTATGGAGTTTGAAAAGATAGGAAAAACCTCCTGACCTCCATCCCTGGAAGTGTCCAAGGCCACACTGGAGCAACCTGGAATACTGGAAGGTGTCCCTGCCCAAGGCAGGGGGTGGAACTCGCTGATCTTTAGGTTCCCTTCCAACCCAAACCATTACAGGATTCTGTGATCCTATGAAAACAGGGGAATTTACCTGCTTTATTTCACTGCAGAACAGATTCACACTCCCCTGCACTCCAGAGTAGAACTTTTAATTTCCTTTTTTTTTTCTTTATTAAAAGCAACATACATCAAGTAAAAGCAGGTGAAATTAAAATAGATCATGTAAAAAAATTGCCCCTCTCCCTCTTCACCTCCTACTTTGTTTATGACTTTCATTGCATGGGATGTTTTCAAGTTTCATCTCCTTCTTTCTGCATCAGAAGGGAGGTGGTTTTGCATAAATAAGTAATTCCAAACAAATGGGAAAGTGCTTCTTGTCCTGCTCTAGGAAATGGTGGTTCCTTCCAAAGTATGGAAAAATGCTGGAGGGGAGGATGAGATGGATCAGGAGTCACAGACCTGTTGAACAGGCTGTGGGATCTCCTCTCTTAGGTCTTTAAATATCACAAAACAAACCTTTCCCGAAAGCCATCAAGACTCCCAGAATCATGGAACCAATGAGGTTGGAAAAACCCTCTGAGATCGTGCAGTTCAACCGTCCCCCAGCACTGCCAAGGCCACCACTGGCCATGCCCCCAGGTGCCACATCCCCAGGGCTGTTAAATCCTGGGAAAAACTTGGGAAGCTGGGAAAATCCTGGGAAGCAGAAAAAGTAAATTTTTACTTTTTCCTTTTTTATTTTAAACATTTATTCCCGCATGTGTTTTAGACAATTTGAAGTGTCAGGGCCAAGGCTGAGCTCTGGTAGGAGATGGGAAGAGTGACTTTGTCTGGGAAAGCTTCTTGTCTAAACAGAACATGCAAAGACAGAGGGAGGGTTAAAGAGGAAAGGGATTTTTATCCCTTCCCACCCCGTGAGTCACATCCACCCAGTGATTCCTTCAGCTCCCATTTTTCCCCAAAGGACTGACACCAGAGCAACACTCGCTGCTCGTTTAATCCCAGCAGAAAACAGAAAAACAGGGAAAGATCCCAAAAAACCCTCCCCGAGCAGAGCCCTGGCCGGGTGCCAGGGAATGTGGGGAGGACCCGGCTGTGGGGTTGGAGGAATGCAGGCCTTCCTATCTCTTTTCCCAAACATTCCCTTCTGCAGCAGACTAAACATTTTCCCGAGCTGCTGCCGCTGGAACAGCCGGGTTCACGTTCCGGGAGCAGGGATGGCTTCCCAGTGCTCCTCCTCCCCCATCCTGCTGCAGCTTCCCTTCCTTCTCCAGTGTTTTTCAGGATTTCACCTCCTTTTGGTTTTATTTTTTGTTCTATTTTGGCTCTGTTGCTCAGCAGGGGTTGGTTTCACCTCGTTGTTTGGTTGTTCGCGGTGCATCCAGGAGGGAAAGAACCTCTAGTAAAGCCACAGGGTGGCCTTAGTGAGGCCTGTGGCCCAGGGTCCTTCACCCCAAACACATTTCTGACCCCCAATATTGGAGCTTCAGGGCTTCAGGGGGGTCACTGTGTGGGAAGGGGCAGAATGAAGTTGGTTTTTCACCTCCTGCCAATGACTTCTTGACATGGTCCTGGTGGTGGTGAAGTCATTTAAACTCTCACCCACCTCATGGGATTGAGCTGGGAGTGGTTTCCTTATTTTATAGAGGATATTTTAGAGCATATTTCTTGATGGTTGTGAAGTACTTCAGTGTTGGATGGAAAGAGGCAGAGCAGGAACAGGGAGATATCTTGGTGAGGGAGCTTTTGGATGAACCTTGATTATGGTTTTCTCACATTTCTGACTCCAGTTATTGGAGCTTCAGGGCTTCAGGGGGTCACTGTGTGGGAAGGGGCAGAATGAAGTTGGTTTTTCACCTCCTGCCAATGACTTCTTGACATGCTCATGGTGGTGGTGAAGTCATTTAAACTCTCACCCACCTCATGGGATTGAGCTGGAAGTGGTTTCGTATTTTAGGATATTTTAGAGTATATCAATTCATGATTGTGAAGTGCTTCAGTGTTGGATGGAAAGAGGCAGAGCAGGAACAGGCAGATCTCTTGGTAAGAGAGTTTTTGGGTGAAGCCTGATTATGGTTTTCTCACATTTCTGACCCCAGTTATTGGAATTTCAGGGGTTACTGTGTGGGAAGGTGAGAATGAAAATGGTTTTTCACCTCCTGCCAATGACTTCTTGACATGCTCCTGGTGGTGGTCATGGTCATTGTCAACCCACTTCACTCTCACCCACCTTGTGGGATTGAGCTGGAAGTGGTTTCCTTATTTTATAGAGGATATTTTAAAGCATATTTACTGATGATTATGAAGTGCTCGAGTGTTGGATGGAAAGAAGAAGAGCAAGAACAGGGAGATCTTTTAGTGGGGGAGTTTTTGGGTGAAACCTGGTCATACTTTTCTCACATTTCTGACCCCAGTTATTGGAGCTTCAGGGGTTCAGGGGGGTCACTGTGTGGGAAGGGGTAGAATGAAGTTGGTTTTTCACCTCCTGCCAATGACTTCTTGACATGGTCCTGGTGGTGGTGAAGTCATTTAAACTCTCACCCACCTCATGGGATTGAGCTGGAAGTGGTTTCCTTATTTTAGGATATTTTAGAGCATAGTTATTGATGATTTTGGAGTGTTTCAGTGTTGGATGAAAACAGGCAGAGCAGGAACAGGGAGATCTCTTGGTGAGGAAGTTTTTGGGTGAAGCCTGATTATGGCTTTGTAAAATAATGAACAGAACTGAACTTTGGTGATGACCTTCACCTCCTTTTTGGTGATGATCTTCACCTCCTTTTGGGGGATTCACCCCCATAAAGGCAGCAGTTACACGTGGACTGAGCATCTGTGACCTCACTGAAGTTCATCTGGTTGATAAAATTGAGTTTACATCCCTCCCAAAAGCAAGGACCTGCATTTTAGCAGCTGAATTTGTCTCCAGGCTCTTCTGAATAAAATTCCTGCCTTTCCACCATCTGGCTGAGGTCCATAAGGAGTTTTGGTAGTTTATAGTAGTTTCTAGAGGGGAAGATGTTTCCTAGAGACCCTCCATTGTATCTCCAAGCCCCATGGAGACGACTTGGATAAAAGAAGGCATTTCAAGATAAATTGGGACACCAAAATATAAGAAAGAGCCCTGGAAAAGGGAAGCATTTCCCACTGGATCTCCCCGTGCTTTCCCAGGACAGGAGCATTTTGGCTTTGGCTTCACTTGGGAGGACATTTTATCTTAAGCAAATATTGAATTTTTGGGATTAATATATCAGCTGGGCAGGAAACAAAACAAGCCAGTTCCAAAAAAGCATTTGCTTGCTGACAGCAAACAAGGTGGAGTGTGTTGCTTGGCTCCTGGTGACTTCTACTTATAGGAGACCAAATTATGAACATTAATAACCTGGAAATTTGAAATAAGCACTTTATTAGTCCCCTAAGACCATGAAAACACAGTGATTTTTTATTAGCAAACGTCCTAGGCTCAGTCTAAGGGTTATTTAGGAACCTTAGTCCTACTGAACTGAGTGGAATTAAAGTCAGATAAAGAGACAGATAAAATTCCATGGCCTTGGAGGTGCCTTCAGGTTGAATTTAAGTGAAATCCTGATGCAAAGGGGAAATTATCAGACAAAGAGTTGATGTTCTGCTTGTAAAAATTAAGGGGTTTTACCTCACGTTACCACTGAGCTTTTTATAGACTTCAACAAACTGTTCCCCCTTTTTGAGGATGGTCTTCCCCACCTAAAAAAGAAGGAAGAAATATCTTCCTACCTGACATATTCCTACCAGA